CAAGAACAGCCAACAACGCATCAATCTGGACGCAAGATTGGCCCGGACCACACATCGTCCCGTGCAAACTGAACTGAACTTAACTGAAACAATTCCGACGTGACCTCGAGTTGTTTTGTTTTAATGATTGTTGCTAAGAATAGAGTTTTTCTACTATCTTAAATTGGTAGTTGATCGCTATCAAAGTTACAGAAATGGAGATTACTTACGTATACACAAAGAAACGGGCGGAATTTGGGAGGCAGTGCAATTTTAGTGACAGAAACGCTGAGCTTCATGTTGATATACTCCCTGATTCGGAGCTTGCTGCGAATTATATAGAAAAGAACCCTATCGATAGAGGTATCCAGTGCTCAAATGAAATGTCAGAGCATGAGATTAATACTGAAAGATATCATTCTGAGTCACGCGGAATTAATCACATCGAAGGAGGTTGGCCAAAAGATGTGAATGCTCAGGAGCCGGATCAAGTTATAAGGTATAGAAAAAAGATTGAGAAGGACGAAATTTACACCGCAACTGTTCAAAGACTCGGTGGGGTTAGTATTCTTTTTCTTCAAAGTTATCCGTGCAGATTATGGAACATTGTATAAAACAAAATAATGCCCTTAATATTTACGAAAGCTATTTTGATGAATTGGACAACACTACATCAGAAGAACCTCCCTCGGCAAAAACGATTAATATCTTGCGGTAATATACATTTTTACTTTAGATCTTTATTTTCAGTGATATGAATGATATAAAGCGAAGCGTAACACATATATCTTGGTTTCCTGATGGACCTTCAAAGTTGGCAATTGCTTACTGCAACACGGAATTTCAGGCCGCTTCACCAAATACTTCATTAGAGTCATACATATGGGATCTAGGAAACCCAAACAAACCAGAGTTGGTATTAAAACCGGCCTCCCCATTAGTATGTATTGAATATAACCCGAAGGATTCTCACACGCTAATCAGTGGATGCTACAGCGGCCAACTAGGTAGTTATCATGGATTTAAAATTTCCATTAAATAGCCCTTTGGGATAGGCGAAAGGGATCGCAACCGGTAGAAGTATCACCTGTTGAACAAAGCCATCGTGATCCAGCTTGGAAAGTAATTTGGATTCAGTCGAAGACAGGAACTGAATGCTTCTCCACTGGTACTGACGGTCAAGTTCTGTGGTGGGATGTACGAAAAATGACAGAACCCACGGAAAAGCTGTATTTGGACCCAACAAAGAAACAAGATTTCTCGTGCGCTCAAGGGGCTTATGCCTTAGAGTATGAGTCGACCATTCCAACAAAGTTTATGGCTGGAACCGAACAAGTAAGTAAATCGAAAAATAAAATGTATTAAGCTATTTAATGTTCGATTACTTACACCTTAGTAAAACAACTCATTTTACTTCTTAGAATAATTTATTTGATCTTTCCCAAAAGGCTTGACTAAGATAGATAGGAGTGCAATAGCAGATCATTGTCGAAAGTAGATACAAAACGAGTGCAAATTATAAATAAATTTAATAACTATTAGAATGCTCTTCAAATCAAGATGAGATCTATTTATCCAAGGAGAAATAAAGCAGATAATTTTCTGATAGCCTTATTTGGTTTACATCATTTCCCATTTGACAATTTTATAAATTGGAAAAACCTATCAAACAGTTCTGTTCAACAACTCTTGCAGCAACTCATTTCCTTTACAAGCATTTAATGACACACTCAACTACGCTAAGTGCATCCGATAGAAGCTGAATTTTGTTGCATTAATCAAACTTAATATTTTATTTTAAATGACCATTTAGTTAATTGATGAAGATTGTCGTTGGTTAGAGGAGATAAGATATAAAGCCCAGAAAATAAGTCAGTGACACAAATGCTGTACGGTCTGCCTGTTGAAATTCCGTGCCCTGTAAAAAACCATAAACTAGCATGCGCAAAAGTATTCAAAAGTGTACACAAGAAAGCTGTTGTCATTCCTATTGTTTACATTTTTCCGTTGCAACTGCTTAACCTTCTTTTCACCTCGTTCTGTACCTCAATACACCTATTTCCTGTTAATGTTATCATTGCGTTGGCATTGGCACCCGCAAGCCAGCGATATGTATTTATTTCACAATAATTAGTATATGAATGATTAGACAAGATTTCACTGGTTTAGCGGTTCTTGCCGCTTGTCAGGCATGCGTATTCAGTAACATTTTTTCAATTAATTGATAAACTTGTACCCAGAAAGTGTATTTTTGTCACAATAACATTGTTTGCAACACCGGGTGAATAGATAGCTCTTTTAGAGCTAGTCCATTGAAGAATCACTTCTATGACTTGCTGTTTTATATGTGGGTTAGATGCTACTAACCGCAACAAACGTCACGTGATCGTCTTTATAGCCGGTTATATATAGGGGTTACGGTAACCTCTGGAGCTCGCGGTGAAAGTTTGCGCAGTGCCTACTAGGAGCTTGGGTCGATGCAGCCAAACCTTATCCCCTCTAGCATATGATAATCCGTTGAAACTCCGATCGTATTGTTGGTTCTGTCGCAGATGTGCCTGTTGGTTTACGTGACTGGCCGACTCAAAAGCAGTGAGCAGCTTTTGGCGTATTTGGTGGGTAAACCGTGGTGTCGATACTGCTTTTTCGGGTGCGACTGGGGTTGTGATGTCTATCGGTAGGTGGAGTTCACAACCAAAGTTTAGGTATGCTGGAGTCATTTCCGTAGATGTATGTACTGCAGCTCGGTATGCCAGCATATATCCTGGTAATCTATCATCCCATCGGTCTGTATTTTATCTCTCAATGAAGACCTACAGGATGCCTTTGATTTTGTTGTTCGTGCGTTTGATCAAACCATTAGCCTGCAGATGATACAGATTTTGGCGAGTTTTCTTTATGTTTAGCAACTGGCACACCCCTTGCAGTAGTTCGCTTTCAAAAACCGGCACTGGATCGAAGTGGATACTCAGGGGTAAAACACAGCGGGAAATCCATTAGTTAACGATGCTATGAGCAACTGTAGCTGCTTCCTGATTTCTAACCGGGCCAGATTTGCACTATTTGGTGAAATAATCCACCATTACCAGCAAATAACAATTATCTGATGTCGCTGTTAGGAGGGGACCCATTAAATTTACCCCCAATCTACTCCCTGGTTCATTCACGAGAATAGGTTCTAATGCAGCCTTGGGGTATTGCGGTCCACAATTATTTGCTAAAAATACCTCGCACAGCATGCAGAACTTCACAACTTCTTCGTGAAGCTTCGATCACCAGTATCTCTGTCGTAATGCTGCTTCTGTTTTGAGTTGGCCGCCGTGGCTGACAAGTTGGTGTACTCGTTCCATCAGCAGCGGCTCCTTGGTTTATTATGTAATTATCTCGGGCCCGAACTTATTGTTTCTAGAAATAGAATAGAAAAAAGTCACTCGGTGTTGCAAACAAGGTTAGTGTAAAATATACTTTATATATATATATATATATATATATATATATAAGAAATCTCAAAGACAGCATCTAAAAAGGTATTACAGAGATCTTTAAGTGTTTCTTATTCCAATTAACACAGTCAGTGACATTTTATTTATATCTGTATATTTCTTAGATCTAACCACCTTAGAGCCCATGTAAAACTCCTTAAGACAAAATAAAAATAAAATCTGGTTTATAAAAATCACTATATTCAACAAATTGAAGGCTTGAACATCTTAAAATATCATAAATGAGCCTAAAACGTTTCCAATCGCTTTAGGTAAAAATTCAGTCTTTCATGTTCTTGCGTCTAGCGCAGTCAGGTACTGTTTAAATAATCCTGAGGTTTTAGTTTCTAAAATATCCTGATTCTGATAAATAATTCATAAATCTTCGGTCTTAGATTATACAAGATAGCATTATATAGCACCAGTAGAAATAATATAAAATAAAACTCTTGCATGAATTTAAGATATAAAGGGAAATTAATGACCGGTTATTTAAAAAAATCGTTTTCGCATATCTTCTACAAATTACTATTCCCAAAATCTCGCGTTTCTCCTGGTATTTTCTATAGGGAGTACAGCTGATTTTCAAAGATCTTCATAAAATCCTTGTCCAAATCGGAATAGGGTTTAGAAAGTTGATACAGTAAGATAACCCTATTATAAACGCTTTATTTGCACAAGGCGGAGGAAATATTATTGAGACTGATTTTCATCTGCTCAGAGAGCTTAGGCATTCAAGTATTATCGGTCATTTAGGTCATTTAGAACGCTTCTCAGTTTATGCATTGTCTCATCATCAGAATGTTAGGTCATTCAAGGTCAAAAGGCTTTTGTCTTTGAATGGGGTGCATTGAGATTTTTATACCTGTGAGCTGCCTGTTAAAACTGTTCTTTGAATAATAGAGAGTCCTTGTATGTTGAACATGCGGATAAAGATATGTAATGCAGGTTTGCTCTTGGTGTTGGGCAGTCTCGTCCACCGCACCTCAGTAAGTTGATAAACCTGTATAAAAGCCCCCTGAGAGTGTAAGAGAAGTAGAAAGTGGTGTGCATGTGACAGATGTGGAACAGCAGAAAAGCAATCAAAGACTAGGGCTTAGCCTTTAGTAATATTCTAAAAAATCCATCCCAGTCTTCTTTTGAAACAAAAAAACGGTTCACTGCTACCACTGTGGTTGGGTGTTTATTACAATCTTTTGCGCTGCTAACTGGAAATCCTTACGCTCCTATTCGGTCGTGGTTTCATCAGTTTCAGATATTGCATTCTGCCGGATGGATTATTGTTGACAGTAAACAGAAATATAGTCACAAATGAAAAGGCTTCAGTTGGTTAACTGTTTTAGTTGGGCCACTGATCTGTCTCTAAAAACCCAGAGAGAGAAGGTTGGTTGAGTGTAGTTGATCCCTTTAGCATACTTCCGAGTTCATCAGCTAATCGGTAAAGTGCCGCGGTACGGCTCTAATTGACTATTTATCCCTCGAAATCAAAAACACTGTAGACTGCAAAAAATACTCTAGTTATGAGAATGCAATTGTTTTACGCTGTGGACAGACCATAAATAACCTTGATGTTACAGGTCAGCAGAGGTTAAATCAAGTCCTGTTGACTTTGGTGGCAACTATCAAACACCGCATGGGTTTTGCACCCGGATTCTTAGGCCTCTCCTGGCTTCGGAGGCTTTGATTGGAACAACTACTTATAGCCCAAGTGATGCATCTTATGTGTCTTCTTTATTAATAGTCAAAGTGATGTTTTGGGGTTAAGGATCGCCGTCTTTCGTTAGTTTTATCGACTCAGCAGCACATGATTAAACTAAATCAAGCATATACGTTGCGATCCAGTGACTAAACTACCTTTATGATCCACAAAGTAGGTTTGACCACATCTATACTAAAATTGGTTGATGCGTTTAGAGTTATCATGAAAAGGTGTCTTTCCTAATCAAAGTAGTGACCAAGCGTGTATATCGCCAAAAAATGTTCTGGTTTGGCTTCGTAATGTATATGGGCAACTAAAGCCGACAAGGAAAATGTGGACAACACTAATTATTTGATGACTTTATAAAGTTCTGCGTATCACGTATGGAAGCGAACAAACACTGTCACCCCATCTTTATAAAAATCAGGATGAAAAGAAAGCCAGGCAGCCAGACAACATTCTAAAGGGGGTGAACCAGGGGACAAATTTAGGTGAAAATTTAACCAAAACATCAATGTTTGTAAAGTGGTTTTTTATTACACACCTAGGTGTGATAAACTGCAGACGAGGCGAACCCCATAGTCACGAGGACCTGCTGTTCAGTGATTGAAATCGGAAACCTAAGCCCCAAGACTTGGTGTGGCGACCACATAAAGCTTCTATAGGTTAGGTATTGAACCGGACGACGGCGGAGCTGCCTACCACCAAAGCAGCATCTAAACCGCAAATAGCATAAGAGGAACATGTACCCAACATTTTTCTACTGTGTATCTGAAGGTGCTTATGTTGAGGCAGCTAACCACTGCATCAGTAAACCTGTTTACTAGTGATATTCCTCAAGGGTTAAAATAGTAAGGCTGAAAGTTTGGTTTATGAAGACAATTATCTCTAATTTCTGATACCAATAGGAACGAGTTCTAGTGACTTACCAAATTGAAATACAGAATAACGGTGTATATCAGATAACCCTACAGAATTAGAATGTTAGTTAGTATTTCATGTAAGCACTGAATGAATTGAAAACAATTCAATTTGATGAGCCTCTCTCATTGTTGTAAATAAGTGTAGTCGATGTCATGGAATATATTGCGATTTCATGTAGAGAAGAGCTATTTCCATCAACTTGGGATAAGTAATTAATCGTTTCTATTTTGAAGAAGGAGTCACGTAGTGAATACTAAAACCTCAGCGGTATAAGTCCCGCTCCGATTGCTTCCAAACTATTGACTTCAGTAGGACTCCACTACCTGAAGCCATACGGAGCGGACAAGAAACAAGTATCCTTGAACAACTGATTTCATTTCAATCAAACGGTGCTTTTGTCCACCATGTTTTTACTTGGCTTCGAGTTCCCGGATCGCATAGTACACCGCTAACCGACAATCACAGTCTACCTTGTTCTATATGGAAACCCTAACTCAGCTTACAATAAACTGATATTTTTTATTATTTTTTTCTGTATACTGGGTCCTTCTGGTTTTTCCAGTACACTTGAATGATGCATCTTTCGTGTTAACCACATTACTCCAAATCTTTTGCCATTTACACGGCCCTGCTTCCTATTGAATTTTCAAATTCTCGTTTGGTTTTTGGTACGTTTTTAGCTAATGTTTATGAATGGAAGCATTAACATGGCGGGTTGATTGATAGAATATGGTAACGGATTTTTAGCACCAATGACTTTAAATAATATCTATTATTATTTGAGTTTCCAGGAGCGATCTGACCTTTGCTAAGTCATGAGCATGAGAATAAACGAGCGGTAAAATGTTTAATAGTAGAGTGATTGAGGCGCTTCGCTCGTATGCTCATACCTCACGGAAACAAACATCCGAATGACGCGAGCCGTAAACACAGTGTTCTGAACAGGAATGAAACAATTTAAAGATGGCAAAATAAGATGGCGCCTAAGGTGAGTAGCGTATTCAAATTTCAAAACAAACAGCGCTGCCTACAGTAACCGAAATGGAAGATATATGTTTAACACCGGCTTGAGAACAAGCATGATGCCAACGCCACAACAACAATAACAATAAAAATAACGCGGGGGTGGGGAGGTTGGGATACACAGTATAGGGAAAAAGACTTACCTGTTTGTGTTTCACCGTACACTTTTGAAATTGGTCTCTCCAGATTACCCAGGTGTAGAAGACCTGTTATTGTAATGAATTTGGCGAATAGAAAGCTTTGATCAGTGGTCGCAAGAAGAAAACGCAGCAGAACAGTCAGAAAGAGAATGAAATAAAGTCAGACATGCTCATGGATGAACCCGAAAAGCGAAAAAGCACAGGAACTGTCTGCCAGATCTGATAGTAAAGAGGCTACCATGAATTCGTCCCTTTTCAAAATTAATTGTTTCTCACAACTAAAAATTAAGTACCTTGATCGAATGGTAAACCCTGAAGCCTATGTACAGTTTCTCGATCTCCTTTAATTGCTTTTCTTTCATCCCTTGGTATTAATTCCGGCTTCTACCAGATCATTACATTCTGAATCGCTGATTTTCTTCAACTTATTTAATAATTTTTAGTGTTCCATTTAACCTGTTCACCGGGCTTGGCATTTTGTTTGCAAACGTTTCATCACCAGCCGAGGTGACATCATCAGTGCTTGTGAATTCAGTTCACCCGAGCTAAAAGAACCAATTTTCAACATTTTGTCAACAATTTTCAGTGTGACCAATTGTGTGGAGGAATTCGAACATTTGCTGACATTTGCTTAGCGTCATTTTTCTCCACAATTGGTTTGCGCGTCCACATAGATAGCTCAGTCCCAGTGAACAGTGGTGTTTATTTTATGCAGAATTCCCGCACTGAAAATTACACTCTCGCTTTCGTTTGCACATGATCGTGGTGGTTGGTTTTTATCACCTGCGTAATTTCATGCAAATTAGGGTAAGGTCTTACCGAAGAACTTGTCACGCTACGGTCCTTCAGGAGCAGTTGCAAGCCTTCAAGGATTAACCGAATCGCTATTTGTTGAACTCGTTACCGGTGGTCAGACTACCACACAGTATAAAGTAATGATAACCTTGAACATGGGAATCGGTCTTCTAGGATGATTTTAAATTCCCGGTCAGCTAGCATGGGTTTAAAATTTATTCACAATAAGACAGAAAGTTTTCTCTGTCGATTATCAAAGCCCCATCGAAGCTGCGTAACAAGAGGCTCGAGCAAAACATTAATTACAGTCTTTTACTGATATTATACGTCACAACAAGTTAACAACCCCAATCAACTTCTCTATGGTAAAATGGTATGTTTAAAACACTCAAGCATTTAACAACCTTCGCTTACTGAAATAAAAATTGTCTCCAAATTATGCTTGTTTTAGGGCACAATTATTTCATGCAACAGAAAAGGCAAAACTCCTGCGGAGAAGATTGTTGCAGTTTATCCCGGTCACTTGGGACCAGTTTATGCATTGCAACGCAATCCAATGTTCCCGAAGAATTTCATGAGCATTGGAGACTGGACAGCTCGGATTTGGTCAGAGGATATCCGAGATTCGGCAATCATGTGGACTGCTTATCACGAGCATCGACTGTCGGACGGATGCTGGAGTCCAGTCCGACCAGCTGTATTCTACACCACCCGTCTGGATGGTGTGCTTGATTGTTGGGATGTGATATTCAAACAGAAGGAACCTACTTTGAGTATACAGGTGGGTGTTTTGCTTTATCATCTTAACTGAGAATAAAAGAAGTACCGGGTGTTTGAATTTAGACTTAAATGGTGTGCGGGTCATTTTGGCTCACTGCTCTGAGTTCATTTTCTGCTTCACGGATTAATTACTTTGAAATGACTATCCTTCGGACTTGACCTTTTTGCACAATCCTCAGTTCATCGATTCAATCACACACTCGAAAGCACTAGCCTCGAGTTTCGCTTTTATTAGAGCTCGTCAGTAGTGCATATCCACCGACCCGTTCGGGATTTGAACTCCGGACCCATCGCATGGAAGGCGTGTATGTTACCACTGTGTCAACCAACTCATCTCATCACTGAACCAAATTGCCAATTCATGTTTATTCAGGTGTCCTCTTCAGTGATAGTCAGTTCATTTGGTCCGACAGCAACGAAGGGACACAGTTGAGTTAAATGCGAATAATCACCGATACATGTTAAAGACAGGAAATTTTTTGTATATGAATGATCTGATATAAAAATTAAGATCAAGGTGTACGCAGCCAGGTTCTTTCAAACAACCCTAAGTTTATCTCAGAGGCCATGCAAATTTGGACCTGTAACCTGGTAGAAATGGTTTTTGCATTTAACTTAATACTACTTGTGAGCAGTATGTTGTAATTGGAATAAGGTGCTGTTCAAAGTGTTGCACTAAGGGGAAGTAAACTGAAAAAAGCAAATCTTTTCAGCTGAACCATGCCCATATAATAGTGGGGTAGTGATATAATGATAGCATGAGAGCAGAAGCCTGAAAATTATAAAACGACAAAATACAATAAATGTATAGCAAAAACACCGATTAACGCAGTTCCCGTATATTTTATCGAATCAAAAAGGTAATGATGATGGCGATCGTGATATATCTATTTAATTACTATATGAACAAGATCCCCTTGTCTCATCAATATTTATTCAGTCTGAAAAATAGAGTAATACCATTTTAGTGACTAGGTAATTGCTTCCCGAGGATCCCTACTGGGGCCTCGTCTCTTTCTTGCATTTATAAACGACCTGACACGTCCTTGGGCCTAATACACTGTTATTTGCGGACGGCGCTAAGATCTAAAGAACTGCAACACATCCTGGGAATTATATAGCACTCCAATAAACGATCGATGCAGCCCACCGATGGTCAATCGCCAATGACATCGAGTTCAACGTTTCCAAATGCAGAGTTATTTCCATGCGGCATAAGACTCGTTTCTCCTATGTTCTGGGGAACCAAATAATACGACATGCCACTGATGAAACGGATTTGGGAGTTATGGTACAGGGGGACGTAGGATGTCCCACGCACTGTGCCAGAGGATCATCCATAGCTCTGAGGCAGGCTGGATTATTCAGACGGGCAGTTCGAAAGAGCACTGTTCCCAAGCTTACTATCAGCGTTCGTTCGGCCACACACGGAGTACGCCGTTCAAGTATGGAATCCATGGTTAAACCGCAACAAGAAGGCTCTAGAACGTCCGCAAAGGCAACAAAATTGGTAAAAGGTCTGTATAACAAGACATACCCCGAAAGACTGAAAATATTGTGATTCTACTCATCTCAATGCCTCCTACTTCGGGGGGACTTAATCTTGGCATCTCACATACTGTATCAACCCAACCACCCTTGCAGTTCTATGCTAACTTCATCTCATAATGATCAACCCAGGGGACATTCACTAAAGGTGAAGACCCAGAACAGCGACCTTGATTGCCGGCATCAATCGTATGCATTCAGAGTGTGCGGTGTACGCAATTCTCTTCCATCTGATGTAGTGTGTGCTCCTACAGCTGAACTATTTAAATCACCATTTAATAAAGCATTGAAACACCCAAAATTTCAATATCTGTGAGTGATGGTACCACGTGTTAATATATTTTTTTCTCTTTGTGAAGTTATTGAAATATTCTGTAAAAATCCTATGGGGTATGATAAGCTTTGGCCTTGTTAAATGGCCTATAATAAAACTTTGACTTTCAAGTTTGTCAGAACCTGTCACTGACGTTTGCTCACTTTCTTCATGGATATCCGTTCCGGGAAGAAATAGATTCAAGAATTAAGATTGTAGAAACTTTATATTCTGAAATTTCCGAAATATTGGAGGAGAGTTTACCTAGCTTATGCTGGTATTTTAGCAACGACAGTGGAAATCTGAAAGTACATCTGCAGATCTGCTTCTGATCATGATCAGTGCAAAGGAAGCGTGCGATACAGAGCTCACTGTGGGGAATGGTGTCGGTGCGGTCTTTTCGTGCTCATTAAAAGCACGATAACAGTTAAAGCAAAACTGGAAATGATGAGGTGGCCATATCTAATGAAGAAACTTTCCCCGGAAGATCATTATCGCCAAACAATGGCGATACATGCTAAATCTCGACGGCACACGCGATTGTGCCCGGTGGAGAAGGGTCCTTAAGTAAGAAGGAAAAGTGTGATGGTAGCCTAGCTTTTGTCATAATTCTACCTGATCGAGGGGTGAAAGTGCTACTTAATATCTGAACCTCGATGGTTCTGATAAGTATGCCATGGTTATGTAACCATGTCCTGATAGTCCTATATTACACAAGACTGGTTGGAAACTGAAACTGTCTAGAATTTAGTCACCAGCGAAGGGTGAAGGTGCGTCTAGTCCGTGATTTGATGATCACGTCCAGCTTGAATGGATCTACCAAGAAACTTAGAGAAAAGCAAGAGGCGAGGAAAGAAAACTGCCGTTGCGAAACTGTCGGTTGAAGAACCGCTACACCGTCAATTAAGAAAACTGAATCGTTATTTATAATTTCACACAGGGAAACTTATAAACAAATAATATTAGTGTTTTAGTGGAAAAGAAACGGGAAAAAGATCAACAATTTGTAAAACACTTGATCAATAACTATTTTCTATTTCTTCTTTCCAACTTCAATTACTTCATGTACACATGAAGGTGTGCGATGAGCCGTTGCATTGTTTGAAAGCTCAAGAGCAAGGAAATTTAATTGCCACCGGTTCGCACAGTGGTGTTTGTACTATATTAGAACTGTCCGAGGGATTTTGGACACAGCCAAGGAACGAAAAGAATCTGATCACGTCCATGTTTGAGCGAGAGACACATCGTGAGAAAATTCTGGAGGCCCGAGCACGTGAGATCAAGCTGAAAAAAGGCAAAGTTCAGATGGGGGTAAGTTGGTTCATGCTGTTTTCTCGAGGCTGTTCACAGAATATAAACTAAAAATGGTATTAAATAGAAAATGATGTCGTATTAAGCGGCTGGAAGCTTTCAAATTTATCTCATGATCATATTCGTATTTTGTTTTTGTCAGCGAAGTTTATCCTTTCCGGTTTTGTCTGGGATGGACGGTAGCTGTAAATCTCAGTCACGCAACCAGATCCCTTTCGATGGAAATCTCTCTGAACGTCGGGAAAGGGTAGTAAACGATTGTTTCTTCTTCTACTGGTCGGTGGTGAGTGCCTTTTCTACACTATCCAGACTTCGAGCAAAAACTTCGTCTTTAGGAGCTGAAACTCTCACCTCGAGCCAAAAACCATGAACATGATAGCTAAATATGGTTTTGTAGAGCCCATGTGAATTTCCGCTCAATCTTCATTTCATTAACTTGCCATTCATAGAGCACAGAATCTGTTTGGCGCACTTGTAAATGCAACCTAATCCAATCCCAGCAAAATGGCAGAATGGGATGGCATGAACAAACCGATTCGTTGATCAAACAGATATCCACTTGTTTTCATAATCACGCAACTTTCTTAGCACCCAATAGTTCTCATTTCTTAATTTTCTATGCCAATTGTTTCTTCATTGTCGAGACCTTGAGTGGCACAAAAATGTCCTCGACTCACATATAGCTTAACCGTCAACCACGTAGTTCAGAGGTACGTCAAGTCAAGAGTGCACTTTATTCATCCAATTTAGACAGAATTTTCAGTGAAAAGAATGTTATCTTTTTGCTTTGGCATTGCGCACTATTAAAAATGAGCTTAAAGATATGACAAATAGTTACTGTGATGATAATGAACCGGACACAGAAAACGCGTAAAAAATAAGGAAAATATCAATGTGGAAATTTACATTAGACTGTGTATGAGTTCATTTGATATTTGCTCCCTAGAAACCAACAAACGTGAAAGGTAAGG